TTTCTTCTGGCAAATCACGTAGAGAAGTTTCATGTCAAAGGCCTCTCCAAACCCACTAAAGTTTTTATGGGAGGCTTTGTCATCTACTTCAGCGTGAGCAGGTGCCAAATGTGCAAATCTCATTCTTTGTGTAAAGAAACTGAGGTTACATTCTCTACTGATAAGAAGTTTTACCTGCTGTTTTCCTTCTGCCATACATCATCTATTTACTGTAGCCTTTAGTGATAATTAATTTGAAAACGTTAAAAATATCACTGTAAGAAAGGTATTTATTTTAACGAGAAACAAACTTTGACTTGAAGAGCAAGATAAAGTAAAATGTGAAGTAAAGCTTCACCTGTAGTGCAAAAATTGTGGGTTTTTTTAGCAGCTGTGGATTTTTCTTTTAAACAGTTTTTAAAATTATTTTAAAGGCAGGTTTTTAGATTCTGATGCATGTAATACTGAAGGAAAATGGCAGCTTTTTCTTTTGCTTTTTTAAAAATGGGGATCATTTTTAATCTAATACTGATTGTGTTTAATCCATTTTGAAAAAAATACTGTTCATGTTATAACTCTTCAGAAGCCAGTTGGATTGTTGGACTCAAATAGAATTGGTTATTTTCAAAAACTCAGGACAAACTAAATAAGCTATAGTACCTTAAAAATGTATAATACAAATTGGAAGTAAAACATCTTAAAGATAAGTTTACATGAATGAATAGTGCTCATACTAATAAAAAAAAAAAGGCAGTGTCATCAGTTGTGAATGTATTTCTTTTGGAAATTTTACATTCCTTTGTTTTGGATGATTGGCAGACTTTGAAGAGTTAAAAAGATAATACTGAAATGTGAAGTTTGGTAGCTCTGTTTTGTACTTGACTTTTTTTTTGACCACTTTAGAATTTCTCATTCTAATAAGATTATTTCCAAGTCTTATGTGCAAGCTTTAAAGGATGCACTCTTGCCAATTCATGTACTGGAAGATCACTTGTCAGATTAATACTGTTTCTGGCAGAAATGTAAACTGTATAAACTGATGAACCTCAGCTAATCAGTATTACTTTGTAGATCACTATGCCTACCACATTTCAAACTCAAACTGCCTCTTAGGTGTCCAAATGCATTTGTTTGAGTTTGTGTTTCGCTCAGCTTGCTGGTAATCGTGGTGTTTTTAAAAATGCAGATGTGATGTAATATTCTTATTTTCTTTGGATCAAAGCTGGACTGAAAATTGTATTGTGTAATTATATTTTGTGTTCTTAATGTTATTTGGTACTTAAGTTGTAAATAACGTCTACTGCTGTTTATTCCAGTTTCTACTACCTCAGGTGTCCTATAGAGTTTCTTCTACCAAAGTTCACTTTCACAATGAAATTATATTTGCTATGTGACTGATTCCTAAGACTTCCAGGGCTTAAGGGCTAACTTCTATTAGCACCTTACTGTGCAAGCAAATTTTACGGAAATCTCTGGGTTAAGAAATTTGGCTTCGTTGTATCCTTTGTTATTTTAAATATATCGAGATATTTTAATTAAAAGTTTTTACCCCATTGAACCAATTTTATATAGTATAATTTGTACGTATTTTGGTGTTTTTGTCTTTATAGTAAATAAAAGTTTTTGAACAAATCTTGTCCTTTTCTTATTAAAATGTCAATATGTTCAGTTTACTGATGTGAGTAAAATATTTCTGGTACACTTGGCTGTTTATACACAGTTTTGTACACCACACTTGGTATATCAAGACTTGTTTTCTAATATTAAATAACACATGAACGAGTTTTGGCCAATATATATCTATCTATATCTGTATCTTGGCTGTATCGATAAAGAATGGTTAGATAAGGGGCAGCAACAAAGACTAATTTTATTTTTTTTTTTAACTGATGATAAAGATAGCAACTTCTCTTAAGACAGCATTGTTATTTATGAACCTCATTTGTTTTTGCCTTTAGGTCAAGAATTAAATGTCTAAACTCTGCATTACTGCAAATGTTACAATTACCTAGTCAGGTGAGCTGATTTGATTAGGTCAGTTCTGGAGCCATTGAAGTGTATCTTGGAAGTCAATCTGCTATTTTATGTTTTTGGTGAAATGATTCTGTTTGCAATTTAAGTAGCAAATACAAGCCCTTCCTTGTTCAGGCAGTCTGACTATGTATTGCAAAGCTAGGACTAGTTTCACTTGATAGTCCTTCTCCAGATATTTTTTAAATTTTAAGAATTAATCTTTTTTTTTTATGGAACACAATTTTCAACTATAGCCTTTTTTGTGACTACAAATTCTGTACTTCAAAGGATTACACTTTTCATAGTTTCCATTAGTTATGTGACTTTCTACAGATAGGGATGAACATACTGCCAGCAAAAACTGGCAGCAGAAATCTTCAGATAAGTTCTAATATCTGATCTTTAAAATCAGAAAAATGTACTAACTGAAATACATGACAAGGATTAAGTAAAAGATACAATTAATTTACCTTCCTTTGCTTGATTTACCATAGAAGTTCTGAATTGTGCAGTACTGTGTCATACTTGCAACACTGCAGCCTAGTTTTAGTAACAAGGGACGGCAGAGATCTCCTGTCCCGGCACTTGGCAGTAAAGTCAAAGACACCTACTTAGAGAACCAAATGTCTTCATTTGCAGAAGGCATGTTCAGTTCTTCCACAAGCAGATGGTAAGCTCTATGCCTGTTTGAATTTCTCTGGTGGGAATAACATCACATTTCTACATGATGGTCATAGGTTGAAGTCTGATGTTTCATCTTGCAAAGTTCTCACTGAAAGGTGACAGCTGCCTCCAGGACATGCTGGAGTGTCATGAAGATCACGTATGTCCTTCCATCACATGAGTGGGCAACCTATGTGCATGGCTGTGGTGACCTGACTCAGACCACTTTCCAAGGCACTCTATTTCCCTTACTAACTTTTCACTCATACTTAGCTTTCCATGCCAACCTGAATCGCGAATGTGACTTGCTTTTAAGAGCTACAGCATGCATGCACTGTGGAAAACGTGTATGTTGTTTTCTGGTTATGGCACGCAGCTGCTAATATCCGGAGTTGAACGGAGACCTTTCTTCCCTGTCATTACCGAGGAAGTCCAGGAGATGGCAGGGAAGCACTTTCAGGCAGCCACTGTGCCTTCTGTTGTTTCCCTCGGTTCGCAATACCTCAGTTTGCAATACCTCATTGCTCCTGTTCTCGAGAAAGATGTGCCAGGTCAACAGTAGAATTAAAGCGATCATGGAGTAAATCAAGATGCAATTTATAAACACTTGCAAGGCTCTGAAAGAGGAAGTTAATTCAGTTTGTTTCATTGCTTTGGTGGACCTGTCTCAGATTCCCAAACTCTCTTCAAAATTTCAGGTCTGGCAATAGGAGTATAACCCCTGAGAGTGTCTGGAGGTTTGATTTCTCTGTTTACCCCCAAACCGGTTCTCAAACACTTGCTCCATGTTTTTAAACTAGTTTCCGAAGAAAGTAAAACACACGCACACATATTCGTGTTTTCCCAATTCATTGGCAGTTTTTAACTAAACAATAATGCAGATAAGGAGCAGTATCCAAAGATGTAAGTATTGTGGAAGTAGGTACCCAAGCAAGGAGGGACAACAGTAGCTAAAGAGGTGATAACAGTACCCTTATCTTGACACTTGTAATGATTTGTAAAGAATGATTTGCAGAGCTTTGCTAATTTTTTAAGATCGATTGCTGAGCAGTTGTTTTCCTCACTCGATTTTTGTTTTTTTTTAAAAAAATGTTATAGATAAATGATGGTAGAATGTGGCACCAAAAGGGCTTATGACCCCAGTTGTAAATGCTCATGATTTGTAGCATATCTCTTCAGTCTGGCTAGGTGGGTGTGTAGTAAATGCAGCACTGATCAGCAGGCTGCATCTCCCGGTCATCCTAGCCAAATACTAGGCACAAGTGTGGACAGAAATATAACAGGTTTCAGGTCTGGACTATTGATCCACTCTCTTCATGACATATGCTGCAGACTTGTGATCTAAGTCTTATGAGGAGCAGCTGAGGGAGCTGGGGTTGTTCAGCCTGGAGAAGAGCAGGCTCAGGGGAGACCTCATCGCTTGCCCAGCAATCCTGAAAGGAGGTTGTAGTCGGGTGGGGGTTGGACTCTTCTCTCGGGTAAATAGTGACAGGACAAGAGGACATGTGGTTCAGGTTGGACATCAGAAAGAATTTCTCCAGTAAAGGGGTAGTTAAGCACTGGAACGGTCTGCCCGGGGAGTCGTACTTCCTGAAAGTGTTCAAGGAACGGATGGACGCGTCACTTCGTGTTGTGGTTTCGTGTCCGTGGTGGTGTTCAGTCACAGGTTGGACTCGATGATCTTGGAGGTCTTTTCCAACCTAATTGATTCTGTGATCATCTGAAGCACTAATAGCCCTCAGCATCACTAGGAGCAGGCACGAGATGATTTTGAAAGGCTGACATCATAGTGCCGGGATTGCTCCTGGATGCAGAACTGTCAAGGAGGTGGGTTCAATCGCTGCTTCCGGATAACTTCCAAGCCACCTTTTTAATCTGGTACCAGATCTTGTCTTTTTGAATTGTTTAATATAACACAGAAGGGACACGTAACATTGTTCAGAGAGAGGTGTGCGTACTTATATCTGGAAGGGGGGCCGTGAGATCCCTTTCCCGATGCCCGCGGCTCTCCCTACTCGGGTATCCCTGGACACCGCCCCCGAGGGGCCGAGTCCTCACGGGCCCTCCCGCGCCGCGGCCGCTCGCAGCCATGGCGCTCAGCACACAAACGCTCCCCGCCGCGGCGCTCGCAGCCAATGGCAGCTCAGCACACAAACGCTCCCCGGCCGCATCCGCAAGCCAATGGCAGCTCAGCAGCACAAACGCTCCCGGCCAATCCGGCAGCCAATGGCAGCTCAGCAACACAAACGCGCCGGCCACTCGCAGCCAATGGCTCCAGCCAGCACGGAAATGGCCGCCGCGCCTCGCGCGGTCGCGGCCGGGCCGGGAGGGCGGCGGGGGCCGTGAGGGAGCGCCCGTGAGGCTGAGCCGGCCGTGCTGTGACCGCCATGGGGTGGGCGCTGCTCAGGGCGCTGCGCCGCCGCTGGGCAGCCTACAAGTACCGCTTCGTGCCCTGGCTCGCCCTGAACCTCCGCCGTCAGGGCAGGTGAGGCGCGGGGGGAGCTCTCGGGCGCCAGCCCGGTCCCCGCTGCCCCTCCTCGGAAGAGACCGGGGCCGCCGCTCGGGTTTGTCACTGGACAGTGGTTCGGCCTTGGGGTATCCCTTGGCTGCAATGGAACTCTTATTTAGATTTTTTAAAATGGTATTTAGCATTGAAACTAGATAGGTTGATTGTTGAGGTTTGGTTTTGTTTTTTTGTAAGGTGCGTTTGCCCAATTTTAAAAGGAAAACTAGTGTTTGAGTTTAAATGACTATGACATTGTTATAAGTAACTAAACTAAAACAAGTAACTAAATTAAAGTCTCTCTAATCAGCATAACATTTATCCTCACCTCATTTAAAGTGTTATGAACTACTTGTATTTTTTTTTTAATAAACTTCAATAATCATGTTTCATTTTTGGTGCATTTGTCACAGAGAGCTCAGGAGGGTTTAATCTGCTTGACTTGCAGTAAATACACAGATGATGGTTCTATAGTAGAGCAGGCACTGGTTTGAACTAAACAATCCTTTTATTTCACCTTCAGATGTTTTTAGTGTTATAAACAGTTCTAATTAGAACAAACATGAAAAAAGTTAGGGGTTTTCTGAAATAACACTGCACCTAAGTTACTGCTGCTGCAAAATGGCTCTTTTCTCCTTATTTAGGAAAAAAATTTAATATTAATATATCTTTTTAATTTTAGAATACTTTCTTTTCTTCACAGAACCCTCCGATATGTTCCTGAGAGCTCTCAAGACAAAATTATCTCTGATGAAGATGTCTTTGAAACACTACTGAAAACATTTAAAGCTCTGTTCCTAAATGATTTCAGTAGACAGGCGGATATTTTGGCCTTGCTTCCCGAAGTCAAATGTCAGTATCTGGAAGTACTGACTTGGGAGCAGAAGCGGTCAAAAGTAACTTCGTGTAACCATGGGAGTCAGCAGGTGTTTAGTCCTGAGGAAGTTCTGTTAAACACACTTGGATTCACTGTTGGTAGAGACCAGAGTTCCCTGGTGTCTGCTGGAACTGGAGTCTTTGTTACCAAAGGTTTTGTGCCAAAAGGGACAGTTGTGTCGATGTATCCTGGTAATGGAATGTTCTTATTTTTGGTTTAGATATGATTTCTAACTGTTTAATTATGGATTGCCAAAGTTCGTGCTTATTTTTATTTTATGGCATTTATTTCTGTCATTTCTTAACAAAATCACAAGTTATGGTGCATGAGAATATTTATAAACTGACTAGACTTGTTTTGGAAATAAGCAAAGCAATATTGGGAGGGATAATTTTATTAATTAAAAAACTTCAGTATTTAAACTCTGATTTTCCAGCTGTTACAAAAGCTGTTCCAGATTCTTTAAACACAAATGCATGGGAGAAATTTCAAGTAGCTGAACAGTACAGTTTAATTCCTTGGGGTTTCCATTTTGGTTCAGGATCTGAAAAATGAGGTTCTGAGGCCTCCACACGAGTCAGTAGACATGAGTTTCTTCAAAGCACAAAAGTACAAATTGGAGAATGAAAATAAAGTGTTCATTTAGCAGAACTATTCCGTAAAGTATCTGTGGAAAAATCAGCACTCCTCTTTCCTTCTCCTCATTTCTTGGAACTGTGTTTATGTCCATTTCTTAGGAAGGTTTGTAATTCTGTCGGCATGGCCCAGCTAGGAGCGCTCTGCTGACGTGCTTTGAGTTTGTTTCTGTTTCATCTGTCAACAGAATCACCCCCTGCATGTGGTCTCTGGCTTGTGCCAGCGCTGCGGGGTCGGGAGCAGCCCGAGCCCTGGGCAGGGGAGCACAGGGGAGCTGTGCCAGGGCAGGAGTGCACAGCCATTACCACTGGCCAGTTGTCAAGTCACAGTCACAGTGAGTGGTCCTGCTGCTTTGCAGGTCACTTAAATTTTAGGCACGTACTAAATGTGAGCCTAGGTTCATTCAGAGTCTCCCCTGGCAGCTCCTCTAGCATTAAAAGGGGATGGGCGGGTGAAATGCCTTTCATTTTCAAGGGAATGAAGGAAACTGCAGAGTGATGGGCTGGGTGTGATACTCTGTGGACAGGGACCCTGCATTTGTGAGCACAGCCTGCCCGTGGCCTTTGCCTGGCTCCTTGTGAGGCTGCAGTGAAGGACTTCTACTGAGGGGTGCTGAAGGTGTAGTGGGTGTGAGGGGGATGCAGGACAGCAATTCCATGAAAAACTGTGAGCCTGTCAGCTCTTACTTTTCTGTGCTTGGAAGTTGGGGCAGGTTAAATCCCCTCTGCAGATTTGGGAAACGGTCCACTGAAATAATTTTTTCTTGGTTTGTCGTTTTCCATTTCCTGTACCAAGCAAAATCTCTGATGTAGGGTGGTGGAGGTTGGTATTTCAGATTCCTTGCTGTCTGCGTGTGCTTTTCAGAATCCTGACATGGTAGAAACAAAATAGCATAGTCTCTTCAGCTGTGTTTTCCTGACGTTCTCCTCTCTGAAGCTGATCAGTTGGCTTTAAGGCTTTATCTACCTGTCCCAAAGATACTGAAGTCAGGCCTTCTCTCTGATGATTTCCTACAATGGCTTCCCTCTTTGGAATACCTCAACTCATTTAGTTGCGTGAGGTTTTTTGCATTCCAGAAAGCTGCGTATAAAAGCCTTTAGGTTTACAAATGTCAATGTCACTAAGTGAGAAGGGACTTCTCTCCTATCCCCTCTCTCCTTTGAGTTTCTGTGTGAAGGGGACTGGATGATACCATAAGCCCATTCTAAAAATTAACTTATTTTCTTCTGAAATAATAATATCTGTCTTGCAACAGGTACAGTATACAGAAAGCATGAGCCCATCTTTTTCCAGTCCCTTGGCAATCCCTTTATTTTTAGGTGCATTGATGGCATCCTTATTGATGGGAACGATAAAGGACTATCAAGATCAGTGTACAGGTAAGCAAAAGAAATGGGGGATTGTCACTCATCTGATTTAAAAGAGGGGTACTAATAGTCTCAGTTCCCTGTTGTCTTACCCTAAATTGAGTTTACATGATTGTCATCCACCTGTGTATATCTCATAATGCAAACAACACAAGGGTGAAGAGTTGCTGGTTGTGATCCTTTATTGTGTCTTTGTCTGTAACACCAGAGAGATGAGTTTTGATGTACTGAGACTTTCTTGTAAAGAAATTAGTTTTAGTAAGCAGGATGTATCATAAAAGGATTTAAATGTTTCTGAGCTGTTACTCAAACCTGCCTAGTTTGGCCCATCAAATCCAACTCCCTGCTCCTGGCAGGACTGCCTCAAATCAAACCATAGGACTAAGAGCATTGTGTAGACATTCCTTAAACTTGGTGCCGTGACCACTCCCCAGGGGAGTCCAGTGACCAGCCATCCTCTTGGTGAAGAATCTTTTCCTAATGTCCAGTCTGAACTTCCCCTTACACAGCTAGCCTGGACTGCTTTAACTTACCTTAAAATATAATTTGTAGCAATTTGTGTTTAAATATGACATGAAAAGAAAATAGTAACTAGCAAAATTATCTAAAATAATACCTAGTTTGAATATTAATACCTACTAATACCAGATTTTAATTTTGGAAGTGAATCTAGGGCTAATACTGTAATGAGCCTTTGCATCTTTAGAGGTGAGTGAGATGAGTTGACACTTCTGTGACAGTAACATTTGATGCTGGTTTCTGGAAGAGTATGCGGTAGTTTTGTGCAGATTCTTTCACCAGAGTCTGAAAGACACCACACACCAGAGGGAGGTTTAAATACTCTTTTTAAAGTATCATTAAGGTGTTGATCTGCAGCAACTCTGGCCATTTCTACAGGAGGAAGTAAGAAAACCTGTTAGGTGAAGAAGCAGTGATTCACACTGAGGCTGTTGGTCATTTCAGGTCTTGCAGGAGGAGAGATCAGCTTGGCCCATTTCAGATGAGCGATGAGAGCTGGCTCACTGCTGCTCCGCAAAACCCACTGGCAGTGGGACAGTATGTCAACAACTGCTCACATGGTAAGTTTCCAGGTAAATTTTTGAGGCTTGAGGTTGTCTTTATAGATATAAATTACTTTGGAGGTAACACAGAGAATAGGATACTGATCTTAGGGGACAGTAGTCCTGTTTAAAACAAGATAAGCACTTATGGGACAAAACGTTTCTGAGAGTTTTTGTCACAGTTTGGTGTTGGAATCCTTCAGTGCAGCAGTGCATCAAATACCCTTGTTCTTTTCTCATTAATTCCCCCAGTTTCCTTCCTGGTAGAATGAAAGGCACACACCCCAAAATGTGAGATGGTTGGATAGGATACTTGGCACAGGTCCACCGGGCTGGGACAGAACATAGAGTTTCAAATCAAGCTTCCCAGTCTAGTTCCAGCAGACTTCGTGAGAAAACCAAATGCACAGTGACATATACAGTAAGATTCTATCACTGCTCATTTTGAACCGTTTTTTTAGACTTCCTTATGTTTGTGCACAAAACCTACGAAACTGTTGGTATGATCTCACTGTTGGACCTGAAGAAGGGAACTGTGTATTCTGTCTCACTGTTGGTCTTAAGTAATTCATGGGAATGGTTGTGATACATGGAAAGTTGAATTGATACCATACCTACCATATCTAGCTTCTGAGTGTCTTTCATAGCCTGCATTACACTAAAGATTCCCTGACTCCAAGTAGCATCCAGAACAGTTGCTGGAGTAGCAAACCAAGTATGGACTGGCACAGACTGTCCCATGAAACTGTTTCTTCCAAGTCCAATGTCCATGAAGTAGATTTCCCTCTTTCTGCTGGACAGATTGGGATTTCCTCCTTGGCTGTATTTCTGACATATTTTGACACTAGAAGAATTTTTTTCAGTATTTTTTTTAACAGTAAAAGCAAACATTGTGTATTAACAACATTAGCAGTGCTGTAAGCTCTCTCTGGTGCTAAGCAAGTTGTGCCTCCTCATATACAAGTTGATAATCGAGTCAAGCTCCTGTAGCTGGTTGTGTAAATTCAAAGTAGGACTTCAGGGGAGTGCAGTAGCTCCCAACAGAGGAGCGGTTTTCAGTCCTGATGAAGCATCTGGTATTATTGTATCAGTACATTTGATGTTTTTACAGATCTTTAAGCACTATCTAATATTTCCTTTGTATTATAGAGAATTATTTTTTTTTCTTATTTCTAGAAAAAGCAGCAAACGTGTGTTATCAAGAGTTTGATGTGCCGGAACATTTTCCAATAGAGCTGAAACAGTACCTTCCAAACATCTTCTACAACCATGATACAGAGAGGTCGGCAGCAAATGAAGGAGCTCATGGATTTGTATGATACAGGCATACTGCATGTGTAAAAAAAGACAGACATGGCTGAAAAATAACATACAGTGTGAAGATGAGTTACACAAAGATGTGCAGCTATATGGGAGAGTTAGCTCTTTGAACAGACTAAGTTTGGTGCCAAGACTGTTTGTTCCTTTTTCCACATCTCCGCAGATGAGTTCAGCGGGAAAACACGGTTTTGCAAGCAGTGATTGGGTTGCACTGCAGGGCAGTTCTTCTGAATCCCATAAAGCACTGGTTATATTTTGCTTGTATTACAGTATTGGAGGTTTTGGGTGTGTATTTAAAATGTAGTTAGTGATCCTTAACCGTTCGAAGCCCTTCTGAGATAGTTCAGGTTTAGACTTCTTACTCTCCTGGTTCTCCGTGTCTTCTGCTTATGTGACAAATAAGCTGAATTTGCAAAAAGAAACCTAAAATTATATTGAGACAAGTGAAGTATTATGAAGTATAAAGGCGTGTGACTTTTAGTTACAGTACACAATTACAACATCCTCATTATGATGTGGAAATTCACCTTTTTTTGGAAATTAAAACACTTGGAAACCTTTCTCAGATAATCCTCTTCATTTCAAGGATGAATGAGGATTTTAGAGCAGATCATGTGAACTTTTTATGTAATTCTGGAGCTATTTTAAAACTCTGAAATTGGAGAAAGTTATGGTGCATATTGGCAAGTTGGCTTTTCTGATTAAACTTAGACTTCCTTGAGGGAAGGTTTAAGATGCCCTTGTAACCTGCAGATAATTAAGTAAATGCTAATAAAATAACCAGTAGGACTGATTTCTGATGAAGCATGGATGCTGTACTTGAAGTGTGAAAGCACAGTGAGGAGAGATAGGCTATGGGACCTTTTCAGGAGGGGGGAATTTTGCTCTCTTCCTTGGAATCTGTGGAAGAAAGTATGGTCCTTCAGTCATTATTTCTCCCAGTGTACAGCCACTAGACAAAAGATCATATCTGCTTCCAGCTGCTTGGTTTGATACTGATATATACAATGCTGGCAGCATGTGAAATCTGGGTTCTAAGTCTTTTTCTGTCTTGTAAAAGAGTTCTTAGGACTTGTTTACCTTTTGTTTGGTATGTTTCAAAATGGCCTCACACTAAATCTTTAGTAGTCAGACTGTTTGGGTTGATGCTGTTTTTCTGGTTGATCAGCATCAGAAGCGTGTGCTCTCCTTCCTAGAGCAGATATTTCAGCTTTAGGGCATGGTCATTTACTGAAAGGAAGTTGGGGGCGGTGGGTTCCTAAATATATCTGTAAGAAAAATGCCAGCCCCTGATTTCAGCTTGGAGTTTATGGAGAAGTCACCCATCACTGTAGATTGAAGCAGATCTCTGATTGCAGTTCAGTGCTGTCTTCCTGGGTATGGGTGGGCTCAGAGTAGCTTTAGCCAAGTATCACCTGTGGGCAGGTGTGTCTAGAGGAATGGTTTCTGCTCCATGAACTTTGATATAGCTTCTCCTGTCTGAGTAAGTCTTGACCAATTCTTTTCAATTCTGAATAACTGTATGAGTGAAAACATTATTTGCATACCTACATAGACTGTGCTTTTTTGGTAATTGTTTTGTTTATATTTGCTGTCTGTATTTCAGTGTTGTTTTTCCATGGTCCCTGCCCTGCATTATGCCTATTACTCCCAAAACTAATCTAGACAAAGCCATTGTTTTAGCTTCTTGAAATGAAGAATTAAAAAAAAATCAAAAGGAAATATAATTGTTCACTTTCACATGTTTTCTTATCCTTTTTTTACAGCCACCTGAGGTGTGTAGTTCTTGTCACTCTCAGAGACATCAAGCAAGGAGAAGAACTTTTTTCAAATTACTACACTGTTGTCAGATGAATTAATTGATTCAAGACTGAGGAAATCTGTGTCAATAAAATATGTACTATGTCTGTACTTCAAGCTTCATCATCATTTTTACTCAAGGGAAGGGCTGTAGCCTCTACCATTTGGAGAGCAAGCTGAAGGCTTGAATTTCTCCTAAAACAGTCCACATTCAATGCACAGGTGAAGGTTTACCCATTTACATCATTAGGTTCTCAGCTGTCTGCTGTTGTTCTGCTTATTGGTGTTCAGCTGTCCATATGGTAGCTTATAAAATTAAAGCCCAAGTTCTGGATATGTCATTAAATCTACTCAATTGCACAGTTGTCTGTAACTGGGACTCAGGACATAACTTGTAAAAATAACTTCCCTCATAGTTCACAGTACTTACTAGTTATGGTTCTCATGTTCTTGGAGCTGACCCCTTTGGTATCAGCTTCCTTTTAAAAAGTATTCCAGTGCTGCGAGTTGGCCCCTGGATGACAGTGCACCATGCAGGCACAGCTGAGGGGCCCACCAGCGTGGTTCCAAAATGGGCTTCACGTTAGGGCATCTTAGCCACTGGCTTCAGTCCTGCCTGTCCTGGGCCAGGAGGAAGGGCGGTGTGTGTCTTGAAGCCTTGTCCAGTCTTAACTTCAGTGATTCACTGAAAGTTTCCTGGCATGTGGCAACTTTCGTAGCTTTTGTTCTCAAAGACAGAGAGCATCATGTTGCAGTGTAGCTGGAGGAAACAATGCCAACCAAGTGTGCTGTGTATTTTTTTAATGAGTGGCTGGTATAAACTGGTCCGGGTATTCCTATGTTAATTCTTGCTGCTGTCTGCAAACTGCAGTCAGAAAGATCATCCCAGTATACTTACTGCAAAAGTCCAAGCAAGCCTCCCAGTGACTTCGTGGTTGGCATAAGCTCATGAGAAAGGAACTGGGAAACGGTGTGCTGTAAGGAATTGGGAGTGGCTGGGGCAGCCAGGGTGCCCTTGCTTGGCTGCTGAAGCACCTGGTCTCCTTTTCAGAATGCAAAGCTTTTGATGTCTGTGTTACTTGATCTGTTTCCAAGCCTGAACCTTGTCTTTCAGATTCATTTTGAAGTCCTTTACTGCCAGAGCAGGCTGGCTATTTCAGCAGGATTTAAATAGCAGAGCTCTGAGGTAGTAGCATCTGGCTCTGCATGGGTTGTGCAAGTTTTATGGTGATGCTTTGGAAGACTTCCAGTGACAGTCCCTATGTCTTCACTGTGTCATAACAGATCAGGCAGTGATCTACTGAAGTCTACTGAAGAGGATGCTCCTCCTTCATGACTCTGAGGACCCCTTCTCTCCTAAGCTGGCCCCTCTCTCGAGCTCTCTACAGGCCTGTCAGCCTGACCTCAGTGCCTGGCAGGGTTATGGAGCAGATCATCCTCAGTGCAGTCACACAGCACCTACAGGATGGACAAGGGATCAGACCCAGCCAACACGGGTTTAGGAAGGGCAGGTCCTTTCTGACCAACCTGATCTCCTTTTATGAGCAGGTGATCCACCTGATGGGTGGGGGGGAAGGCTGTGGATGTGGTCTGTCTGGACTTCAGCAAAGCCTTTGACACCGTCTCCCACAGCATTCTCCTGGAAAAGCTGGCAGCCCACGGCTTGGACAGGGGCACCCTGTGCTGGGTTAGGAACTGGCTGGAGGGCCGGGCCCAGAGAGTGGTGGTGAACGGGGCTGCATCCAGTTGGCAGCCGGTCACTAGTGGTGTCCCCCAGGGATCAGTGCTGGGCCCAGTTCTCTTTAATGTCTTCACTGATGACCTGGATGAGGGGATCAAGTGTACCATTAGCAAATTTGCAGATGACACCAAGTTGGGGGGAGTGTCGATCTGCTGGAAGGCAGGAGGGCTCTGCAGAGGGACCTGGACAAGCTGGAGAGATGCTCTGATTCCAACGGGATGAGGTTCAACAAGGCCAAGTGCTGGGTCCTGCACCTTGGCCACAAACAACCCTGCCGGCTACAGGGCTGGGCACCAGGAGATGGGCTGGAGAGCAGCCGACAGAGGGGAGCTGGGAGTTTGAGGATTGACAGGAAGCCTGAACATGAAGCAGGCAGTGTGCCAGGTGGCAAGAAAGGCCATGCGATCCTGGCCTGTATCAGGAACAGTGTGGCCAGCAGGTCCAGGGAAGTGATTCTTGCCCTGTACTCAGTGCTGGTGAGGCCACACCTGGAGTGCTGTGTCCAGTTCTGGGCCCCTCAGTTCAGGAAGGATATTGAGGTGCTGGAGCAGGTCCAGAGAAGAGCAACAAGGCTGGTGAAGGGACTGGAGCACAGGTCCTGTGAGGAGAGGCTGAGGGAGCTGGGATTCTTTAGCCTGGAGGAGGCTCAGGGGAGACCTCATCACTCTCTACAGCTCCCTGAAAGGAGGTTGTAGCCAGGTGGGGGTTGGTCTCTTCTCCCAGGCAGCTATCAGTAAGACAAGAGGGCACGTTCTTAAGCTGTGCCAGGGGAGGTTTAGTTTAGATATTAGGAAGAAATTTTTTACAGAGAGGGTAATCAGGCATTGGAATGGGCTGCCCAGGGAGGTGATGGATTCTTAGTCCCTGGAGGTGTTTAAAATGAGACTGGATGTGGCACTTAGTGCCATGGTCTAGTAACCATGGTGGTGTTGGATCAAGGGTTGGACTTGATGATCCCAGAGGTCTTTTCCAACGCAGTTGATTCTATGATTCTGTGATTCTCTCTGGGAGGAGATTATTGGGCACCTTATGATCTGTGGAGAAGGCTGGATGTTGGGGTACCTGCAGCATTCCTTAAGTTGGGGTTTATGGGTAAGTAGGCATCATGGATGGAGTGATGCACTTCACCCATAGCAGAGAGACAACAATACACTATAACAAGTGAGTTAACAATCTCAGTGGTAGGTGTGACCATGGTTTAACAAGATTTGATGGCAAGGCACACCTAGCTATTTACTGCATACAGGTCAGGGTCAGATAAAGCTGTCACTGCATCCCTGCCGTCAGATCATGAGGTTCAGACAGGAACCTCTTGCTTTCTAAACTCCTCAGACAGGAGTTCAGGCACAGCTGGATCCAATCCTGGTTCCAGACTTGGTCGACAGATTATCAGTTCTTTGTATCCCTGAGCTAAGATGTCAAAGTTTAGCACACTTACTGAGAATGTGCTGCCACAAGGAATTGCTCAGCCTAGAGGCATAACATCAGTAGACACTCCTGCTCAGGGGGCAATCCTGGTGTGCAGCCACTGCTGTGCTGGAGAACTCAACAGACTCTGGAGTGCCCACTATTTATGGGGGAAGGTGACAGGCTCATAGTCATAGTTGTACACTGGCAAAGTGTGGTGGTTTGAGACCCTCAGAAATCCAATTTCCAAGTTCGAGCCCCCCCTCCCATAATTTGCCCCAGTGTGAGGGGGTTTTCAGACAAAACACAACTACTCAGCATTGGGGGAAGGGGAAAATACAAGGTTTATTTACATACATATATATATATGTAGGTAATAACTTAGCTATCACTTCTATGATGAAATTATATATTTACATTAGATTAAATTTCTCTTTTTCTTCAACAAGAGTCCAAGAAGGAAAGAGAAAAAGTCCTTTTGTTACTTTTCAGATGACAGTTCCTTCAAATTAGTTTCTGTGGTATTAGTTAGTATCCTTTATTTTTAAGGCAGCAGATTTAAGTATTGCAGTTAGAATTTTTCTGTTATACTTTGTGAAAATTCCAATCCCTCGAGCCAGAGCCTTCGGGGGATTTCCTTGGAGACTTTCACTCTTTTTCTCTAGTGCTGCCGCATTTCGAAGTTCCCTTCAAATGGAAGTCCGCCCCACTCTCCAAAAGAGGGTCTCTAAGAGGGGTTTTGGGGAGATTTAATTCAGTCTTACCCTCAAAACCACCTTCATTGAGTTTTCCCTGTTCTGTTGCCGGCTCTTCTTCGCTGCAGGAACATCTCTGTGTCTTTGAGCCTGGCTCCATGCCATCTCGCTGCTGCTGGCTATCTTTCTGGCTTTCAGCCATCGCTGTCTCTGTGCAGCTCTGCAAATAACTGTCTCCTCCCTGCCCCACAGAGGAGGGGAAGAAGGTCCATTCAGAGTCCCCCTGGGTCACCAGCCTCAAGGGGGACTTCACGCAGCTCCCGAGCTGCTCCAGACCCCCAGCCAGGGGCTGGAGGGGAGGGCCTGCTGGCACTCCCTCCTCGTGGCTTCACAACGTGGCTACAACTTTTTCAACTTCCTTCTCTTCCGGCCTGTGCCTATGCTGATTTTTACAGTAGTGAAATGTAGCACATCAGGAACACCACCACCACCACCCCCCCCCCGGGGTTAACCACTTTCTAACTCCAGGGGGAAAACACTTTTTATCCTAGGAAGCAAAGACATCTGGGCCACTGTTCCAGGTAGGTCTGGCTACTGTGTTTCATCTGACTCTCGAATCCCCCACTAGTGGTTATGGTTTAAGCTCTGGATGGAGGAGCAACCTGCCACGGTGGGGAGGACTAGTCTTGGCATGCCAGGAAACGCAAGTGCCGTTCATTGTTTTGCAGGCTGAGAGAGATGCCATCATGTCAGGCCATAGGTCACTTCAGCTGTCTCATTATACACTTGTTAATATACACTTTTAATTGCCCAACTTAAACATATACTCCTGACAATTTTGAAACTTAGGTTTACAATTTGTTTATTGAGAAAGATTTGCTTTCCTGCTCTTGCTGTCTCCTGGATGTGAATGTTGCTTGTTAGTGCAGGACCACAATGCTGAAGTGCAATGCTCTTCTGTCACTAACAGGGTGCCTGGGAATGGCATCTTCCTGCTGAGGTACTAAAACCTGACAGCCTGCTTCAGGGACCGCTCATACATAGGGGAAAGCAGCACCTGGCCTGCAACTGGCAGCAGCACTTGATTTCTAAAGCCAAAGCATGACAGGAGGAGGAGCTGCACTCAGGTGGTACTGCTGAGCAAGAAGCAGCACAGTGTGGTGACTGAGTGGGAACAAGGAAAATGGAACAGTAGAAGTCCCTTGGAGCTGTGGGAGTCACTGAACTCCCAGCTATGTCAGAGGCCTCCAGTCAGACCTGCTGATGGC